CCAAAACCCCAAAACCCCAAAACCCCAAAACCCCAAAACCCCAGACACAAAATTCGCGATTGAATGCAAAAAAGGGCAAAAATTACGTCAAGTGATATAATTAGAAATTAGATGTCTCAGTTTTATTTGAAGCTCGTAGCTGGGGTTATACCCCTAACAGCCTCTGGTAATACACTCTTAAGTGGAGGAATGATGTCATTTAGGTTTTTGGTCAAAGGCTTTATGTAGAGAGAGGGAATCTGTTTCCTTTGGGTTAACAAGGTTAGAACCAGATTTTGCTGAATTTGCATATTTTCTATGCTCTTCTTGAGCCGAGCATTGTATTCTTCAACTTTGGATATCCTTTGTTTTCATCAGTCAATCTATAATAGCAAGGGGTGAGCCTAAAGGGTTTTGTAAAATTTGGGTTAGAAAAATGACCAAAACAACGTCATGATGCATCAAATGGGTTTATATCCAATAATTAATTTGTTTGATTTGATGCATAAGCAGGTAGGTCAAGGACCTCTCAGACTAGCTTTTAAATGATTCAACATACTCTAAAAGAGACTCTATCGATTCAAAAAAATAAAAACTAGATTCTGGTATGGAGGGTGGAGTCTGAATCCAAAATTAAGATTCATGGTTCAAAAATTGCATACGCATTCCACGTCATGCCAGATAGCTCGATTTTAAGTTCCAGAAATCTACTCCAAACTTACCTTTTGCTGGATCTGGGTATTTTCAGAGAGCAAGGTATCATATTCTTCTTGCATTTGGGTGGCTTGTTGCTTTTTCTTAAGCCGACTGCGACAAGCACTCTCTCGATTCTTCTTAAGTCGGATCTTAACGTTATCTGAGTTGCCATCAGAGGAGCCTATCCCAGTTGAATCATGTATAAACTTACCGTTGTGTGAGCAAGGAGGGGTATGAATGCCAGTTTCAGCATCAGTGCCTCTTCTAGGCTTCTCAGGCATGACTGGTAGAGTTTCTTCGATTTTTGAATGGGGTGAAAGTGAGTTTAGCATCAGCTACAGATTATTAATGCTTCAACGTAGCTCACTCTTTTAGGGGTTTTGGGGTTTTGGGGTTTTGGGGTTTTGGGG